CTCCCATCACAGATCAATGGGAGAAAATACACTGGTTTTTCAACTGGCCCATAGCCTTCTTCATGTCCTGATTCCTGAGAGTATATATGATAGGGTTGAGTGCAGGGGTGACTACAGTGTAGAATGTGGAGGCCATTTTGTCCACATTGGTGCTGGAGAAGGGTACAAGGTACACAAAGAGGCAGGGCACAAAAAAGAGGCTGACTACGGTCAAGTGAGAACTGCAGGTCGACAGAGCCTTCCTTCTACTCTCCTTGAATCGGCCTTGAAGGCTGACCAGGATGACACCATAGGAGATCAGCAAGATAAGGAAACAAGCCAGGGAGAGGAGGCCACTGTTGGCTGCCATGAGTATCTCAGTGACGTAGGTATTGACGCAAGCCAATTTGACCACCTGCGGAACATCACAGTAGAAATTGTCCAGTTCATTTGGTCCACAGAATGGGAGTCGGAGGACCAGGATGAGCTGGGTGGCAGAATGGATAAGACCTCCAATCCAGCAGGATGCAAGAAGTCTCATGCAACGTTGGCGGTTCATTGTAGTTGTGTATCTCAGTGGGTGGCAGATAGCCACATAACGATCATAAGCCATGAGAGTGAGAAGCAGCATCTCGCTACCCCCAAAGAAGTGAAGGAAGAAGACTTGGGCCATGCAGCCTCCATAGGAAATGGTCCGGCCATAGCTAACCAGGTCTGCCAGCATTTTAGGCACAGCCACAGAAGCCAAGGAAGTATCAAGAATGGATAAATTAGACAAGAAGAAGTACATGGGGGACAGAAGGAGGCGGGGCTCTGCATGTACAGTCACCACAATGAGGAGGTTGCCCACAAGGGTTGCTGTGTAGCAGGCAAAGACCAGGACAAAGAGAAGGAGCTGGATGGAGTGGGAATGGAAGAGACCCAGGAGCATAAACTCAGTGACACTGGAAGCATTCATGGAGATGGCTGGGCCTGGGTGGGAGAGAGGCAAGAAGGTGTTAGTTACTATTGGCACCTCTAGACAATCTATTCCATACTGTTCAAAGACAGCACAGAACAACTCACTATTGTGATCTATAAGTATTATAATCAAAAATAACATCATATAATAATATTCAGTAAAGTTAATTCATTTTATTGCATTGCACAGGGACATATTATTACAACATATCTATTTAATGGATTATAACACAGAATAAAAACTCAATTAGACAGGGCATCCTCAAAGTCTTGCAACATATTACTTGGATTATATGGATAATATTATTTACTAAGCAAATCAGGGAGATTCAGTCAAGTCTTTTCTGCCAAACCAGCCATGAGGAGACTAATATTAGAAAAGGGCAGGTGGAATTATCATCCCCAATGCACTGTAGTCCTTTGGGGGAAAACAAATATGCAGAATTTCATTCATGCTTACAAACACAATTTCCAAGGAGTTGTGGGTTTTTTTTAGCATAACTTCATAATGAGAAGTTCCTTTTGCAAGGGAGACCTGAATCAAAATGTTGCCATGTGCCGGTACTTAGAATTCTAGCTAAACCATTCCATTTCCCTCTCACCATTGTTTCCTTACATGATCATTGTACACCATTAATGCTCTTTGGGTTGTTTAGGGCATCCCTCACATTGTGGAGCTTCTTTCTTCTTCTACAATTTCATGCCTACATCTGCTCTCCCATCCCTCTTGTGCATGGCTGGTGTCATCTGACTATATAATGAATGACACTCAGCCTAAAGTTCAGGGAATGATAATAGCTAATTTCCCCTATCCACTAGCATCAAGTTATTCATTAGTGGAAGATTCAAAACTCGGAAGATTCAAAACTTCCCCCCCAACCCCGACCCCCCATATCAGCCATATCAGCCCGCCAGTTTCACTAGGCCCTGAAGCTATCATCAAAATACATTTGCTACTGAACCAGCTAAAGAGTGAATATATGACTCAAGATTTACACACATCAAGAGACTGATGCAAGCAGGGCTTTTTCCAGTGGGAGCTCACCAGAACTCAGTTCTAGCACCTCTCAAGTGGGCGCCATTGTCATGATAAGAGAACAAGGGAGGCGTTCATGGTGAGTTTTGGCACCTCTTTTTCTAGAAAAATAGCACTGGACGCAAGTAATTATTTGATTCAAGTGTCTTGCACTGTTGCAAACCTTTCCATCTCTACACAGAAATATATCCTATTACATTCCATAGGACCTACTCCCAAGCAGTGTGGATAGGATAGAAGCTTGGATTATCTGATGGATAAATAATTCATTGTCAGTTACTACCAGTAAACGTACATTAAATTAGAAGCTGTTTATATTCTGTAATTGTTTGGTGGTCAATTGTTATTTTGTCAAAATGAAAGCTGGGGACAGTTCTAATTCGGATGCTCAATGCAGCAGGTTCAGGTACATGGGGACATAGGAAACTGTTCCATACCAAGTCAGGGCATTAGTTCACTCAGCATTGGTTCACCAGCAATTAAAATAGGACCACCACCCCCATCCTTACCTTGAGATGCCAAGGAAAGAACCTGGGAGCTTTTTCATGAAGAAAATATTCTTTACAAGCACATCCTAACAACCCATGTCAGCATTATCAGGTTCAGAGCAATATGCCATCCCAACCACAGCCAAGAGCCAAGAATGCAGTGACACTGCCCAAACAACCCCTGGGACACTGAACATACTCAGCTCCAAATATCTTATTTTCTGTGAGCATTATCCCTCAATACCTTCTTCTCACTAACGTCAAGACATACATCAATGGCCTAGTGCCCCCCTCCCAAAATGAAGATCCCACCATCTCCAGCAGCTTGCGAAGATCCTGCAGCCCCAATACACAAACATCTGATGCCCACTTAAGAAAACCTTTTATGGCTTCAAGTCTCCCTCCCATTTCCCATGTACTGTTTTTCATTAACCAGCACTGATCTGTCTTAGAATATTCTCCAGGGTCGTTTGTCTCCTGAGATAGCACTGCTGGGAGGAATAAGGATTCAGGGCAAACGTGTTAAGCATTGAGGAAAAGGGGAGGGAAAAAGAGGTCCTTTTGGAGAGAAGGACCATAGCTCAGTGGTAGAGCTATGGTCCCATATTCAATTCCTGGCAAAACCAAACATGGCTGGGAAAGACTCCTGGTCTTAAACCCTGGAGAGGAGCTGCCAGTCAGAGTGGACAGTACTAAGAAAGACAGACCAATGGTTTGATTTAGTATAGGTCTGCTTCCTATGTTCCCTCTGCTCCTGGTCGTCTTGGGCTTTTTTCCACAACAAGGCCACCATCAGAGCTTAAGAGCAGGCAATATATCACTCACAAGAGAATCAAGTCAGAAATGTTGAAATCCTGATCCTCAGCTTTTCTGTTCACTCTTAAGCAAAAGCATAGGAATTGGTCTGTCTTCCTGGATTCAACCTAAGGTCCATCTCGCTGAGCAGTCTGTTTACAATAATGGGCAGGCAGATGCCTTCAAAAGCTGTCAAACACAGCATTGTCTTTCTTTGTCCCTAATCATTCCTACTATCATTTCCAATGCCCTCTTTATTTCTAAAGCCATGAGTCAGAGATCAGAAATACTTCCTCATGGTAGTAGCTCAGATGATTCATTATCCAGGGGTGTAGGTAAAATACACAGACTATTCTTTGGAGAACCAAGAACACCCATAGCAGTTATCTTTGCTGTAGTCTCTCTACCAAGGAAACTGGTGACGTGCTCATTTCTCTACGGTGAACCAAGATACACACCTGGAATATTTCAGTGGCCTATGATTATGCCCTGGGGGAAAGGGGTCACAGAGGTAGATAATTGCTGGATCATAGAGATAAGGCTAGGTGCCAGAAATCTTGAGTCCCTTTTGTTTTGTGCACTAGGAAGAAAATGTAGGTGTGAGATCAGAATCCAAAGAGACTACCTGATAAGATGACTACAGTGGTGCTATCTTACCTGGAATAACAATATAGTCCCATCACACTGGATTTTGTGAGTTGTGCTTAATGTTTCTCTGAGTCCCATCCCTTCCCAGGATGTACCAAGATGCCTTGGTGCCAGTACAGGTCATTTTAATGTTGAGCCAAAACGGAAGGCACATTTTGTCACCCAATTTCCCTGCCAATGCTCTTGCTTTTCTGTTATATCTTTCATTCATTCATTTGTAAAAGCAGTAGCAGTGAGGACTTCTTTCTGGGGGGTTGCAGGTGGATACGTACCCCTAAAGATTTGTGTTGCCCCGACGGACTAACCAACATGCCAGCTGTCTCTGCAGTAGCAGTGCGGACTGCAGCTCCATCATTCTCCCCTCTGGTGCCCAGGAAGGGGAGTCTGGGGTGGCCGCAGTGAAGGCAAAGGCACTCCTCCTCCTCTTGCTGGACTAGAGCCAGCTGGCGAGCGCATCTGTTTGGAGTTTCTATTGAATTATTATTATTATTTTTGCTTTTTTCTTTGCTTTTTTTTAATTGCATTTATAACATTTCTGAAACACAAATCACACCAGTGTGTTTATCACTTTAGGAGGAAAAGAACACGCCCACAGATAATCTTTTTAATGTACTATTTCCAGTCAGTGTGCAAAACAGATTATTTGTTTTATTTTGTTTTATGACATATTTTCAATGGATTCTGCCAAAATGAAATTATAATTTAACTGCATTCCAGAAGCATAGTTGGATATCTTTGGAATGCTGAGCGCCAAGCATTGAGGTCCTCCTTGATCCTGCATAGATACTGGTCATCCTGACTGGTCATTAAGGATTGTATCCAATGCTATCTGTGCAAAAACAGATCAGATTTCTGGTAGCACAATGGGACTTTACCTTCTTCTCCTCAAAGTCTGCTTTTGATGGTTCCTCAGGAGGAGATTTTGGGGGGTTATGCAAGGGGAAAGAGAGGAAGGTTAAGTCACACTATACAAATAGATGTCAATTCATGCAGTGTTGGATTCTACCCTATGGACTCCAACTGTAAATACATTCATTTTAATAAATTTGAATACATGCTTGGGTGTTTTGTGACACTTGTTTCCTTCAGCCTTATTAAACTACCATCTTTCTCCTCAACCATCTTTCCTTTTTCCTCAGCAACCTGCCCACGGCTTCTTTCACCTGGTCATTCCTCAGGCAGTAGATCAAGGGGTTAAGAAAGGGTGTAATTGCCGTGTAGAAGAGTGTGACTGCCTTAGTGACTGCTGAATGAGTTTTTCCACTTGGAATCAAGTACATCGCTGCTACTGAGCCATAAAAAAGTGTGACCACAACTAGGTGAAAAGATATGGTAGCAAAAGCTTTCCTACAAGTGCCTTGGTTAGAGGTTTTCATCAGGGTGAGAATCACAATGCCATAGAATAGTAGAACAAATAAGACATTGATTAAAAACAGAGCATGCATGAATATCTGGCAGACAAGGGGAACATTTCCGAGTGGAGGGCAGGCCAGGGACAAAATGGGCCCAGGATCACACAAAAAATGGTCAATGATGTTAGGTCCACAGAAGGACAACTTGGAGATCAAAATCACTGGAATAGGGTACCACATGAAACCAACAACCCAACATGCACCTACCAGAGCAGAACAGGAATATTGGGACATAATTTGTGGGTAGCGAAGTGGGTGACAGATGGCCAAGTACCGGTCCAAAGCCATGGCTGAGAGGAAGAAGCATTCAGTGTTGCCAAGTGAGAAGAAAACGTAGAACTGGAGGAAGCAGGCGTGGAAAGAGATGAACCCAGGAGGAGACACCAGGTCAAAGAGCAGTCGGGGCATAGTGGTGGACACATAGCACATCTCCATCCAGGAGAAGTTGCTCAGCAAGATGTACATGGGGAGCTGAGCCAGGTGGTTATCTAGGAAGACCATTGCAATGATGGTGATGTTCTCAGCCATAGTGAGCATGTAGAGAATGGCAATGAAGACAAAAAGCAAGTATTGTTTCTGCTGTTCAACTTCAAATCCAAGCAAAATGAATTCCTGCACCGCAGTCCCGTTGGCCATCTCTACCTGGAGTCAAATAATATAATCACTATTGCACAGCATAAAGAGGTATACAGTTGTTTAAATACCATTAGCTTACATTGAAAAACAAAGGTTGTACAGACTTGCCATTTCAGAACGCTGTGGGACATTTCTTCTGCCCACCCTATGTTACAGTTCACAAGTTATTATTCACCCAAAGCACCTGTTTCTCCTGGTTAAGTATAAAATATAACATAATGCACTTAAAATACAGTGCTTTGAGGCATTTAATTCTGATATCCTAGAGCTTTGCATATCCCCAGTTCTGCTAAAGTCTCTCTCCTCTCACACACCACTGAATCCAGAAATGACACCAAACTGATAGTGTGCCCACCTTACTTTATTTTAAAATGGTAAAGCAAGTGCAGCACAAAACCTTGATTTAAATAATATATTTGAGATTCATTGTACAATTTACATGAGAAAGAGTTTGTTCTTTGAATTATATCTTAGAACCAATTGCTGCTGCTTTTTTACAGAAGTTAGATTTCATTCTATTGTTATGCATTCCCAAATGCCTTTCCCATCCTTTTGATGAGAGAACAGCAGGTATTTGAGTTGCAGCTTCTACATTTGCTTTATTTACAAGTATAAAAGCACAATGGAAATAAATAGGGTCCTGTAAGAATGCAAAATAAGTGGAACTCCTGCTTCAAGTCCCGTGAAGAAGACAAGTAAACCACAATAATGCTTCTTAAATTCAAACTCCAACTCTACTCAATGCCCCTCTAACTACAAATAATATTACCTTCCAAAAGAGATATTTGCTAGCCATTAGAAGTGCACCTATTTCAGCTATTTACAAGTTATCAGTCACACAAAGGGGGGTTTCCAGCCAATAATTTAAGCAATGCACATGCAAGTTGTGGAGGGGGTCTGAGTGAAGGGAAACAGTTCAAGCCCTTTGACTTTATAAAATCTGGGATCTAAAATCCAGGATGTAGCTTAGAATCATTGGCATGTCCCATGATCCTTTCCTCTTACTCTAAATTCTCCCCACAATCATTTTGCAATGCTTTCTCAAAATTTCCTAGAGGAAGCCACCCCACGAGAAATGACATTCAAATCCACAGTTCCCACCCAAGTTTCTTTTTTGCTGGCAATGACTCCCATAAGAAGATCCTTACTGGGCCACATCAAAGGCCCATCTAGTCCAGCAGGTGGCCTATGGGAAGCCCACAAGCACAACACAACTACAAAAACACTCTCCATACCTCAGTAGGAGTCAAAATGCTGCTCTGTCATCCAGGAAAAACTCACTAGACATTCATGACATGATTTGGGGGGAAAGGTTGTCAATAGGAGTTAAAACATTGACTCATAAAGCTCATCAGAAGTGAAGCAACAGAATCTGGGGTGGAGGTTAGTCTTCTCTGTGCATTTAACTGGTAGTTGTCTTCCAGGCATATGGTGTGAAGGACATAAAGGACCATACTGCAGTTCTGGAGGAAATTAAAAGTCACCAGATATATGTACATGCAGACTAGAGTTCAAATGCCCCGATCAGTGCCGACTACAGCTTTAATCAGAAACTGAAATGAATCTTGGGAATATCTCCTTCAGGAACAATTAAAAAAAATCAAAATAGCACCCTTTGGGAGTGGGATGCAATGTTATGCCACAGGCTGCCTCCCTCCACTTTGGTATGATGCATGCCTCCTGTTTTTCCAAAACACTACCTCTTCCAAATGTTCTTAAAGAACAAATTGAATGGCCAAAGCTCAGAGCACGTGAAGCCAGAGTTGGTGTGATGTAGTCTTCTTAATATTATGATCATTAGTTTATAGAGTGCCAATAATTTTCTAAATTCTGCTTACTGATTGGAAATAATTTTGTCTCTGCCAACAGGCTTCCATTTGAGAAGATGTGACACAAAAGGGGGAAAGGAATGAGGAGGGGAAAGGGAAACAGGCCAACTCAGTTACCAGTTCTAAACAATTATGTAATTGGACTTGCTGTAGCAACTTCATGTTACAGTACCAGCGCCTTTTTTTCTAAAAATAAAACACTGCAATTAGCTAACTTTTTAATTCCCATGGAACAACCAGCTACCCTGGGCCATTACTCCAGGATGTCATATATTGCAAAGAAGATCTGGTATATATTGTTACAAAAGTTAGGTGTATCTCCTTCTGTTTGTGGAGAGTGGCGTAGCAGGGTGAGGTGGAACCCGGTGCGGAAATTTTTGCCACCCCCCCCACATTGAAATTCCCCCTTCCTCCCTCTACCCCCCTGTGAAAGACAGCCATGCAAGCAGCTATCCGATTTAGATTCTGGCTTCTCCTCTTCCTCCCCTCCCCAGTGAAAAACAGCTGCGCAGGCAGCTATCCAATGTAGATCCCGGCTTCTCCCCCTTCCTCCGGTCCAAGTCAAGTGGCCTCCCTGAGAAGAGAAGGAGGAGGCAGAGCCACGGCCAGGCCCAAGGGTTGGAGACGGTGTCCTGGAGGTTTGGGCTCATACTGACCTCTCCCCACCCTCAGCCTCCCCGCCCCACCCGCTTCTCCTTTCCCACCAGGGCAACCTGTGGCAGCGGAAGGATCATGACGGCATTATTTGTCTGAAGGCAGTGCTTTCCTTTTGGGGTCCGGGAGTGGGCGCGTTGAGCATTTTGTCACCCCCCTCATGATGACACCTGGGGCAGCCCGCCTCTACCACACCCACCTTCCTCCTCCGCTGTTTGTGGAGTGGTAGCAAGAGTCCATTGGGCTCCAGGCACTCACCCAGGATCTGTGTTGCTTTGGAGAATTGAGATATAGTGGGAGACTGCCGTAGCTTTAAGAAATATGGTTTATTTACCTATTTGCACCTTCTGTCTACATGGAGAGAGTCCAAGTCTTATATCAAGTTCATTTCAAGAGGAGCTTATCCCCCACAGAAGTGCAGCCAGCCTTCAACCAAGATCTTTCCCTGTCTCTTTTCCCCCTTCTTCTTCTTCTTCTCAGCAACCCCTGCTGAAGACTCTCTTTTCCTGTTCCTTCAAAGGGCAAAGGGTTCCTCTCAGATGGCCCATCAACACCTTTTGTCATATTAAGAGATTTGCTCTCCACTAGGCCAGCCAAGCTGGTTTGTTATGAGGAACGTTCTACAACTAAAAGTTTAAATTAAACTTATCAGCCTTGACAATGTTTTATTTCCAAAAAGGAGTCAGTTTTCATGCATCTACAATCGTGGTGTGGTCCCCCTTTCCATGAGCAATTATTCATTCCAGAAACACCTTAACCAGAATCAGTTTTGTTCGGAGGAGAGGATATCAGACATTTGTGCTATTTTGGCAATATTTGTTTTATTTCCATATTTGCAAGTGAAGAATAAGTTGAGTCAAGAAGCAGAAAGCCTGGGAGAGGCACCCTGCACCATTCAGCCTACATTTCCCTCTCTGATGGACCTTTCTGCATCTCTTTCTGCTGCTGCTATTTCTTCACACGCTCCTACACACCTACACTACATCCCTTCAGGGTGGGGACATTAACAGAGGGACTTCCTGTAACACCATCAAAACCCTTAGAAGGTGTGGGGCTTAAGGGATTTGAAGAGGATATGTTCTACCTATACTACTATGTTGATTGACTTAACTTAAAAGAGGGATGTGTACCCCGCTTGTATGTCTTGGGATAAATTAACTTGATCTGAGGTTGGTAAAATTACTCTCAGGGTGCCGTCCAACTTCATGATTCTATGATCTCTTCAAATGGGCATGTTGCTTTGTTTTAACTTTATTTCCCCTCCTACCAGCAATTTTTATACCATGCCCTTTGTCATCAGCAGTCGTGACATTCTCCTAAGCAACTTGCCCAGAGCCTCCCTCACCTGATCATTCCTCAGACAGTAAATCAGCGGGTTCAGAAAAGGCGAAATAGCAGTGTAGAAGAGCGTGGCTGCTTTTGTGGCCCCTGCTTGGCTTTCTCCATGTGGTATTAAATACATAGCTCCCACTGTGCCATAAAAGAGGGTCACCACTAAGAGGTGCATAGATACGGTGGAGAAGGACTTCTGACGGCTACCTTTGTCAGAGGACTTTATCAGGCTAAAAATGACTATGCCATATGATAACACAACAAATAATACATTGCCTAAAAACATTACATGCATGATGACCTGGCATATAAAGGGAACACTTCCAAGAGGAGCACAGGCCAAGGACAGAAGTGGCACAGGGTCACACACAAAATGGTCAATGATGTTAGGTCCGCAGAAAGTTAGCTTGGAGATCAAAGTAGCTGGGACAATGTAGGCCAGAAAGCCAAGGACCCAACAAGAGGCCACCAGGGAATAGCAGGAATTTGGGGACATAATTTGTGGGTAGCGTAGTGGGTGGCAGATGGCCAAATATCGGTCCAAAGCCATGGCTGAGAGGAAGAAGAATTCAGTGTTGCCAAGTGAGAATAAGAAGTAGAACTGGAGGATACAGGCATAGAAGGAGATGAGCCCAGGAGGAGACACCAGGTCAAAGAGCATATGGGGCACAGTGGTGGTCACGTAGCATATCTCCAGCCAGGAGAAGTTGCTCAGCAAGATGTACATGGGAAGCTGGGCTAAATGAGCATCGAAGAAAACCACTGTGATAATGGTGATGTTCTCAACTAAAGTGACGATATAGAGGATGGTAAAAACAATGAGGAGCACTAATCGTTTCTCCTTCTCAACTCCAAATCCCAACAAGATGAATTCCTGCACTGTGGTACCATTGACTATCTCCATCTGGAATCAAAAAACAGAAGCAGTATCATACACCTTCAGAGAAGTAGCGGTTTCTTCACATACCATGAGCCTGTCTGCCTGTTTCCACCAACAGATAAAGGGAACACTTCCAAACAGCTATGAAATTTAGAGAGTGCAGTAGGGCCTTTCCTTCCTTGCATCGTGTGTAGCAGATCACAAGTGAACAGTGTTCAGAAGCAATATTTTTTCTGATTAGCTATAAATTTAAAATGGAATAAGAGCAAATGCATTTAAAAGCGGACAACTATGGGGAAATATAATTCAGGACCTTGCTAGTTTTCCATTTTTGAGCTAATAAAACACAATTGGGCTAACAAAAAATAATTCTGCCACCTGAAAAAGCCTTTGTTGCTTTGCTCAACTGTAGGGCCAACCCTATGATAACAAAATAGCTCCTAAAATATACATTAATTCGATTTCATCAAATTTATTTAGATGTAAATGCATTTAATCTCAAATTCCTTTCCCTTATAATTATCTTAGGGTTTCAGCATCTAACTTTTTACTTATGCTGTGTTAACTGAAAACAACAGGAATATTTAGAAAATTAAATTTCAGATTATGTTTTTAAATTAATTTTCATCAAAATAATGTGTGTCAAAATATTACACACACACAAACAAACACACACACACACACACACACTATTAATTAAACTACAACAGGCTTCAGAACACCTCAGATATTTGGTGTATATTTGTTTGATCCTGCTGTTGTCCTGGGCACTTAATGTTGAATGATGGCAGTGGCGTAGCGTGGGTTGTCAGCACCCGGGGCAAGGCAAGTAATTTGCGCCCCCTAACCCGTGGATTTGCGCCCCCTAACCCGTGGATTTGCGCCCCCTAACCTGTGGATTTGCCCTAATCCCAGATGTTGCGCCCGGTGCGGCCGGCCCCCCCTGCACCCCCCACGCTACGCCACTGAATGATGGTCCTTGTTGAGCTGCAATTTGACATACTGTGTTGGTTGCCCCATATAATCTATAGTATTAGGAACTACCTCCTTCTTGGGTTGGCATTCCACCTCTGATGCAAGTTCCCTCCCAGGTATCTTGTGCTTCCATCAGAAATCCAGTTTATCTCCCTGTATAGCTAGCGGTTTGTTTTCACCATTCATCAGAAATGCTCACCCCAAGTCCTCTCTCAGAATTTGGTAAGGAAGTATGCTCCTCTCCTTGTTTTATATTGTCACACACATTCGGAATTGCAGGAGTGAATGACATAAATGACCATAACGTGGGTTTGGAATCAGAAAGAGTCCAAATATCTCTGTGTGAATTCAGGCACACCAATGCTTCAATTCCACTCATTATTTCTGGCTGCAGTTTTAATCACTGACTGGCTCAACCCTTGGGAGCACCTCTCTCAGGAACTAAGCTATCTGGCAACACACAGTGTCTCTTGGGAGACACAATGCCACCCCATTTCTCCTCTCCTTACTATGTTGCATAGATTCTACTCTGTGTTCTTTCTTTGTTCTATATTAAGCCGAGCTGCTAATTCAAGTTGTGGTGTGTTCTCTCTTTCCATAAGCAAATGTTCATTCCATGACAGTTTTGTTTGCAAGTAAGGATATCAGACATCAGATATGTTGTTGTTTTTACTTGTTTTATTTCCATATATAGAAGTGGAGCATAAGTCGAGGCAAGCAGGACACTCATTTCTACCAAGCCACAAATTCACTACACACCCTTCCCTATCTTCCACCCAGGAAACATAGACAGATGATAAGAGTTCAAGGGGACAGCCAAGCCAGGCAGGGAGGATATGAAGAAGGCCTGGTGAAGGGAGAAGTGGTATGACCTATCACAGAATAGGGCGCATGGCATTCATAGAGTCCCAAGAATCAGATAGAACAACCCAGAGGACCACATTTTGGTCCTGGGCTTCAGATTCCTCCCTCTTGTTTTAGTCAGCACTGTCTGCCCTTCCTTATGGTTATAATGGAGTGTGATCTTTACAACCAGCAAATGATGTATTGATATAATACAATGAACATGGTTCCACCAAGCGCAGAAAACAAAACAAATACAAAGCATGGCCAGAGTACATTCCCCTAGTGTCCTGCTTACCACGAGAATGGGTTTAAAGCATCCCCCTCCCTTGAAGAAAATGTTGTGGCTCTGAAAGATCCAGACTTTGGGCTGACTAGTTGTCTTTCCCTTCTGCTACCTCACCTTGGGTTCTCAAATTTCAGTAGTGCCCTGTGCAACTCCAAAATTCAGCAACCCTACCTCTCATCCTTCCTCCCAGTGGGATAAACATTCTTTTTGCAAGATCTGAGACCTACTGAGTATGCATCAACTTGGCCCTCCTATATCAGTTACCAAGCAATCTGCCTGACAAAAGACTGGCTAGACAGATTCTTTAGCAATACTGCATGATGTGTTTAGTTTTTCCACCAGTCCAGAGATTCTTGATCTATCTACCCCTGCAACTGTACCTGACAGTTTACAAACAACCACAGGGTTACTGTTGTATAAACGTTCCCTACACCAAGACAAATTAGGGAACAGTCTTTGCTTCAGAGAGCCAGTGTGGTGTAGTGGTTAAGAGCGGTAGATTTGTAATCTGGTGAACCGGGTTTGCATCTCCGCTCCTCCACATGCAGCTGTTGGGTGACCTTGGGCTAGTCACACTTCTCTGAAGTCTCTCAGCCCCACTCACCTCACAGAGTGTTTGTTGTGGGGGAGGAAGGGAAAGGAGAATGTTAGCCGCTTTGAGACTCCTTCGGGTAGTGATAAAGCCGGATATCAAATCCAAACTCTTCTTCTTCTTCTTCCTCCTCCTCCTCCTCTTCTTCTTCTTCTACAGCCCTTTCCCCTGACGTGCTGCTGTCTAAAAGATTGACATTAGGAATTATCCTACCCTTGGGAATTGAATTTGAAGCAAATAGAGGCTTTGTTCACATTCCCATTTACTGTGCACTCACCACCTTTCCACCGCTTGGTTTTTTTACATGTTCACACAACATTATACAAAATAGTATTCTGGGGAAAAGGTAAAGGGACCCCTAACCATTAGGTCCAGTCGGGGCCGACTCTGGGGTTGTGGCGCTCATCTTGCTTTATTGGCCGAGGGAGCCAGCGTACAGCTTCCGGGTCATGTGGCCAGCATGACTTCTGTACTTAGTTATAAAATACTGCAGATGGATGCCTTGTTTCTCAAACCAGCTTCAAACCCTTAAGCTGTTGCCAATTCATCTTAACCAAGATTTGAACTCCTTTGCGTAGGATAAAGACATCCCCACCCTATCAATGCCCCCTAGTGCATCCACAAACAGAAACAAATGTGACACTAATGAAGCCATGCTGATGTGAATATTTAAGGGAGAAAGCGTTGTGCACAAACAGCCCAAGAAACTCAGTGCTGAACTATAATTTGGTAATGAATGCACTCATAGACCTTGGGCTTTTGTTTTCCTCTCTTACTGCAGTGATGATACTGAATAATGGCTAGCTGTTGGAAAATCCTTCTCCTTTCAGTGGGCCGAACTTGCCCCTTTTTGCTACTTTGGTGCTACCTTGAAAAATGTGTGTGATGGCAAGCACAATGTTACAGCCAGTCTCCATAGCCATGCAGTGAAAGGAAAGTTTACATCTTTAGAAACAAGCAAGGAACAAACAAAAATCCACAGTCAAGAGGCCCAAACCTTCCAAAGGAATAAAAAGATAATTAAGATAACGTTCTTGAAATTGCAGAATAGAAGAATATTGCAACAAAGGAAGGTGAAAGTTTGCACTAAGCAATTAAGAATTTTAATTCATCGTCAAATACACAGACACATAAACATATAAACATATTCGACATGTACACACGTAAGTTGAATATCATTGGAAGTGTAAAAACAAATGGTATTTAAGGTTCAAATCTAATTATTTTTAGTGTGTATATATTTCATTTGATGGAGCACACAAAAACCTTTAGGAAATAATTTTAACTCTGATGGTTACTTCAAGTGTTTTAGGCCTAGCATTCCGGTTCCTAAATGGGAAATGGAGTTTCTTATGGTCTTATTGACAAGACTATATAAATTAAAAATTAATTTTGATTTCTAGTCTCAGATAGATTGATTGTAGGCAACCCTGAGGTGTTTCCTGGATTGAATCTTGACTGGACAGTATAAAATTTGAGGGAGGAGATGTGTCTGTCTTACTTAACTCGAAATATTTAAGTTTGGAGAGAGTTCTGAAAGGCTTGTTTTGTCCTATTTTGTCTCAACACATATTATTACCTTTCTTTCGTGCAACCTGCCCATAGCCTCTTTCACATGATTGTTCCTCAGACAGTAGATTGGAGAGTTAAGGAAGGGTGTAATAGCTGTGTAGAAGACAGTCACTGCCTTCACAACCTCTGACTGACTTCCTCCACCCGGAATACAATAAATCTACAATCGTGGTGTGGTCCCCCTTTCCATAAGCAATTATTCATTCCAGAAACACCTTAACCAGAATCAGTTTTGTTTGGAGGAGAGGAAATCAGACATTTGTGCTATTTTGGCAATATTTGTTTTATTTCCATATATGCAAGTGAAGAATAAGTTGAGGCAAGCAAGGACACACATTCCTCCCACACAGACCCTGAGAGAGACACCCTGCAACCCCAAGGCCCATTCAGCCTACACTTTGCTTCATGATGGACCTTTCTGCATCTCTCTCTGCCACTGCTATTTCTTCACACACACCTACACACCTACACTTCATCCTTTCAGAGTAGGAACATTAACAGAGGGACTTCCTGTAACACCATCAAAACCCTTAAAGGGCTTAAGCGATTTGAGAAGAGATGTTCTACTTACACTACTATGTTGATTGATTTAACTTAAAAGAGGATGTGTATCCCCGCTTGTATGTCTTAGGATAAATTAACTTGATCTGAGGTTGGTCAAAATGGCTCTCAGGGTCCCTTCCAACTCCATGATTCTATGATCTCTTCAAATGGGCATGTTGCTTTGTTTTAACTTTATTTCCCATTCCTACCAGCAATTTTTATACCATGCCCTTTGTCATCAGCAGTCGTGACATTCTCCTAAGCAACTTGCCCAGAGCCTCCCTCACCTGATCATTCCTCAGACAGTAAATCAGCGGGTTCAGAAAAGGTGAAATAGCAGTGTAGAAGAGCGTGGCTGCCTTTGTGGCCCCTGCTTGGCTTTCTCCATGTGGAATTAAATACATAGCTCCCACTGTGCCATAAAAGAGGGTCACCACTAAGAGGTGCATAGATACGGTGGAGAAGGACTTCTGACGGCTACCTTTGTCAGAGGACTTTATCAGGGTAAAAATGACTATGCCATATGATAAGACAACAAACAATACATTGACTGAAAACAAAACATGTATGATGACCTGGCATATAAAGGGAACACTTCCAAGAGGAGCACAGGCCAAGGACAGAATTGGCACAGGATCACACACAAAATGGTCAATGATGTTAGGTCCGCAGAAGGTTAGCTTGGAGATCAAAGTAGCTGGGACACTATAGGCCAGAAAGCCAAGGACCCAACAAGAGGCCACCAGGGAATAGCAGGAATTTGGGGACATAATTTGTGGGTAGCGTAGTGGATGGCAGATGGCCAAGTATCGGTCCAAAGCCATGGCTGAGAGGAAGAAGAATTCAGTGCTGCCAAGTGAGAATAAGAAGTAGAACTGGAGGATGCAGGCATGGAAGGAGATGAGCCCAGGAGGAGACACCAGGTCAAAGAGCATATGGGGAACAGTGGTGGTCACGTAGCATATCTCCAGCCAGGAGAAGTTGCTCAGCAAGATGTACATGGGAAGCTGGGCTAAGTGAGCATCAAAGAAAACCACTGTGATAATGGTGATGTTCTCAACTAAAGTGACGATATAGAGGATGGTAAAAACAATGAGGAGCACTAATCGTTTCTCCTTCTCAACTCCAAATCCCAGCAAGATGAATTCCTGTACTGTGGTACCATTGACTATCTCCATCTGGAATCACAAAACAGAAGCAGTATCACACACCATCAGAGAGGTATCGGTTTCTTCACATACATGAGCCTGTCTGCCTGTTTCCACCAACATACAAAGGGTAAAAAGCTATGAAATTTAGGGAGTGCAGTATGGCTTTTCCTTCCTTGCACCCTGTGTATCAGATCACAACTGAACAGTGTTCAGAAGCCATTATTTTTTCTGATTAGCTATAAATTTTAAATGGAATAGGAGCAAATGGACTTAAAGCAGAATTGCATAGGGAAATATAATTCAGAAAAGTTCTAGCAACTTTGCCATGAACAGCTTGTCCCCACATGCTCTCCATTCTTTCAACTGCCCTGCCACAAACACACACTGAGAGAGACAGAGAAAAAGAAAGAAAGAGAGAGAGAGAGAGAGAGAGAGAGAGAGAGAGAGGCAGGCTACTAAGCCCAGAAATGGCATTGAGCCAAATCACAAAATTCAATACAGTGGTACCTTGGGTGAGGAACTTAATTCGTTCTGGAGGTCCGTTCTTAACCTGAAACTGTCCTTAACCTGAGGTACCACTTTAGCTAATGGGGCCTCCCACTGCCACCATGCAATTTCTGTTCTCATCCTGAAGCAAAGTTCTTAACCCGAGGTACTATTTCTCGTTAATGGAGTCCGTAACCTGCAGCGTCTGTAACCTGAGGTACCACTGTATATAGTATTTTTTTAATGTGGGTGTGGTGGGGTTTGTGTGGGTGGGTGTGAGAGGAACGAGACTGATAAATACTTTATCTAAATCTGGTTATGAGTGAAATATGTTAAGGGATGGGACATTGATGCTCTGAGACATTTTGCTGTTCGAAGAACATCAAATCCCCCTCCCCACTATGCTAGGATCAACACTTTGATTTTGTATATAATTTTTTATTAAGTTTTCTCTTCTACAATTTAAAGTACTCATTTTTACATCCTTAAGATATCAATGACTTCCCTTCTTCTTTTTCCATGGCTCATTTTACATATCACATATCCCTGCATATTTTACAGAAACTATACCATTCAGTATTCCATTATTACATGTATCATAACTTATTTACACTGTTGAATTTATCTTAATGCTGCCAGCGTTTTCAGCTGTACAGTTATTTCCATATCTTCAATAAATGTTTTCCAGTCTTCTCTAAACATATATTCTTCTTGTTCTCTTATTCTATATCTGCAAGCTGCGCATATTCTGTCAACTTAAGTTGCCACTCTTCTTTGGTCGGGACCTCGCTAGTTTTCCATTTTGGGGCTAGCAAAACACAATTGGGCTAACAAAAAAATATTCTGCCACCTGAAATAGCCTTTGTCACTTTGCTGAATTGTAAGGCCAGCCCTATGATAACAAAATAGCTCCTAAAATATACATTAATTTGAATTCATCAAATTTGATTAGATGTAAATGCATTTAATCTCCAATTCCTTTCCCTTATAATTATCTTAGGGTTTCAGCATCTAACTTTTTACTTGTGCTGGGTTAACTGAAAACAACAGGAATATTTAGAAAATTAAATTTCAGATTATGTTTTTAAATTGATTTTGATCAAAATAATGTGTGTCAAAATATTATACACACCCACACATACCATTAATTAAACTACAACAGGCTTCAGAACATCTCATATATTTGTTGTATATTTGTTTGACCCTGCTGTTGTCCTGGGCACGTAATGTTGAATGATGGTCCTTGAGGAGCCGAAATGTGGCATAGAGTGTTGGTTGCCCCATGTAATCTACAGGATTAGGAACTACAGTGGTACCTCGGGTTACATATGCTTCAGGTTACAGACGCTTCAGGTTACAGACGCTTCGGGTTAAGTACTTAATTTGTTCCGGAGGTCTGTTCTTAACCTGAAACTGTACTTAACCTGAAGCACCACTTTAGCTAATGGGGCCTCCTGCTGCCGCCACTCCGCCGGAGCACGATTTCTGTTCTGATCCTGAAGCAAAGTTCTTAACCCGAGGTACTATTTCTGGGTTAGCGGAGTCTGTAACCTGAAGCATCTGTAACCTGAAGCGTATGTAACCCTAGGTACCACTGTATACAAAATAGTATTTCATTATAAAATACTGCAGTTTGATGCATTGTTTCTCAAACCAGCTTCAAACTTTAAGCTGTTCCCAATTCATATTTCCCAAGGTTTCATAGAATCATAGAATCATAGAGTTGGAAGAGATCACAAGGGCCATCGAGTCCAACCCCCTGCCAAGCAGGAAACACCATCAGAGCACTGTCGAACAGCTCTTACTGTCAGGAAGTTCTTCCCAAGGTTTGAACTCCTTTGCATAGGATAAAGATATCCTCACCCTATCGCAAACAGCCCAGGAAACTCAATGCTGAACTATAATGTAGTAATGAATGCACTCATAGACCTTGGGCTTTGTTTTCCTCTCTTACTGTAGTGATGATACTGAATAATGGCTAGCTGTTGGAAAATCCTTCTCCTTTCAGTGGACCGAACTTGCTGCCTTTTGCTACTTTGGTGCTACCTTGAAAAATGTGTGTGATGGCAAGCACAATGTTACAGCCAGTCTCCATAGCCATGCAGTGAAAGGAAAGTTTACATCTTTAGAAACAAGCAAGGAACAAACAAAAATCAACAGTCAAGAGGCCCAAACCTTCCAAAGAAATAAAAAGATAATTAAGATAATGTTCTTGAAATTGCAGAATAGTAGAATATTGCTAAGCTAAGACTCTCATATTTAATGATATTAGAACATCCATTTTTATTACACGTAGAAAATTATTTTAGCTTGAGTGTTAGGCCTTGTATTTTAGTCCTCAAAGAGAGGTCAAGTGAACTTCTTTGTCATGCAGGGACAGACTTTGGAAAATTTTTGTAATATAGTGCCCCATCCAAGACCAAATCTTGGAGCTCCCAAATGGATCTTCTAAATTATGAATCTTCTCAATTTTGTGCCCCCTCAGCTCCGTGCCCTTTTTGGGGGGGGGGGAGGACTGCTCACACCTTCCTAAATCTGGCACTGTATCGTGCCATGTGGTTGCCAAGCTGCCAGAGACCAGAAGTCAGATTCCTATTCACCCGGGAATGGAGGAAAGAAGCAGAGCAACTGCAGAAGCACTGCTATCAGGGGAATCTTGTGGACAGGAAGGATTTAGCACTGCATTCCTCTGACTCAAATATCTCTTTTGCAGAGAAACCAAAAAGTGATGTTACAATAGGAGATTACTGAAGGAGATTGAGCACCTTTAAGTGAATCAGCAACTTGCAGCACAGCTAGAGTCAACGGTCAGGCTGTACCTGCTACTGCTGCTACATAACAGATCAGTTTAAGCTTAATTGTGATCTTTCTCCTCAGAAGTCTCGCCTCAACAACCTTACCAGTGCCTCTTTCACCTCAGAAAGGAAGATCAGTGGGTTAAGAAGAGGTGTGCTGACAGCATGGATAAAAGTTGCTGCTTTGCTGACATTTGCCAAGGACAGAATTGGCTCACAACCATACCATAAATTGTCATTTATGTCAGGTATATAAAAGGATAATTTGGAGATCAGTTCATACCGGCATCAATCTTAGATCTATTTTACCTTTAGGAAATAATTTTAACTCTGATGGTTACTTCAGAGCACTCTGGTTCCTAAAGGGGAAATGGAGGTTCTTGAATACTTAAGTTTGGAGAGACAGTTCTGAAAGACTTGTTTTGTCCTACTTTTGTCTCAACACGTCACCTTATTACCTTTCTCCTCCACAACCTGCCCATAGCCTCTTTCACCTGATTGTTCCTCAGACAGTAGATTAGAGGGTTAAGGAAGGGTGTAATAGCTGTGTAGAAGACAGTCACTGCCTTCACAACCTCTGACTGACTTTCTCCACCTGGAATACAATACATCGCTCCTACTGTGCCATAGAAAAGTGTTGCCACCATTATATGAAAAGATATGGTGGAGAAGGCCTTCCTTCGACTGCCTTGGCTAGATGTGTTTATCAGATTAAGAATCACAAAGGCATAGGATAGCACAACAAAGAAGATGTTGCTTAAAAACAGAGTATTGATAAAAATTTTGCAGACAATAGAAATGTTCCCAAGAGGAGGGCAGGCCAAGGATAGAATTGGACCAAGATCACACATAAAGTGGTCAATAACATTAGGACCACAGAAGGACAACTTTGAGATTAAAATAACTGGAATGATGTAGCCCAGGAAGCCTCCAGTCCAACATGAACCCACCAGGGCATAACACGAATTCCGGGACATAAGTTGTGGGTAGCGCAAAGGATGGCAGATGGCCAAATACCGATCCAAAGCCATGGCTGAGAGGAAGAAGGTTTCTGTGCAGCCAAATGAGAAGAAGAAGTAGAACTGAAGGAAGCACTCATGGAAAGAAATTACCCCATGATGGGATGCCAGGTCAAAGAGCATACGGGGCACAGTGGTAGATACATAGCACATCTCCATCCAGGAAAAGTTGCTGAGCAGGATGTACATGGGAAGCTGGGCCAAGTGGTTATCTAGGAACACCACTGTGATAATGGTGATATTCTCAGCCAAAGTGAGCATGTAGAGAACGGTGAAAAACACAAAGAGCAAAAATTGTTTCTGCGACTCAACTCTAAATCCCAGCAAAATGAATTCTTGGACTGTGGTTCCATTGGCTATCTCCATCTGGAAACACACAACAGAAGAATTGTCACATACTGTATGGAGGTATTAAAAGTTTGTGTACCCTTTTGGTTTCCCCTGAAAGACAAAGGCTTAAGCAGGCATGTCACCAGGTAGCACAGTGTGGTGTTCCTTCTCCACCTACTTGTGGTACAGATATTATGTGATTACTCCTCAGGAGCAACTATTTTTTCAGATTGACTCTAAATTATATCAAAAGTCTAACTCCCAAGAATGAATTTACAAAATACTCATCTATTTCTTATCAGATTTCTGAGAGAGATTCTCCTTTGACGTGGGATGTGTTTCAATGGGAACTAGATATTAACTGTATTTCTTAAAATATAGATGGGATAAACTGTCA